AGAAAACACCCCTATTTCCCACTTTGGGGGACAGTTAGGAGCCTAAAGCTTAGCTTCAGAGGGCACATTGCTTCAAGTTGCAAAACTACCTCCTATCATAAAGATATGAGAAGCTTAGTTTTTTTCTGGATAGAATCAGAAAGTTAACATAGATGGTCACCCCTACTACCATGTAAAGTTTGTGTGACAGAAAGTACTGTCAAGTCATCTTACTTGAGAACTAGCTATTTTTCATCATGAAAATATGTATGTAATGAGTTGTATCTGCTTAACTATATAAAGGAGTGAGATTCCTTTCTGTTTTTGCAATCTCTTTGTGGATTGCCTGTGATGTGCATCTCATTCTGGTTATTTTTTTTTATATATATATATTTTTTGTGAGGACGATCAGCCCTGAGCTAACATCCATACTAATCCTCCTCTTTTTGCTGAGGAAGACCGGCACTGAGCTAACATCTATTGCCAATCCTCCTCCTTTTATTTTTTCCCCAAAGCCCCAGTAGATAGTTGTATGTCATAATTACACATCCTTCTAGTTGCTGTATGTGGGACACGACCTCAGCATGGCCGGAGAAGCAGTGCGTTGGTGTGTGCCCAGGATCCGAACCCGGGCTGCCAGTAGCGGAGCGTGCGCACTTAGCCACTAAACCACGGGGCCGGCCCTCATTCTGGTTTAATGCTTACTCAATAATAAAAGTATTTTCTTTCTCTGCTACCTTTGTGCAGAGGATTTCTGCATTGGGAGAAGAGTTTGTTTTTAATTATAATTCTCCGACATAACCAAATGAAAAGCTTCAACCTCACCATTTACTTGTCTATCCTCTTCACAGCTGAAGTTCCACATATCAAAGAAACATTGAACCTAGGTCAGGATTACTAACTTATTTGCCCAATAGAATGGGGCAGAAGTGATCTTCTGGGACTTAAGTGGCAAAACCATAAACACTCTTCTAGGAACTCTGGCATCATAAAAAGTCCAAGCCACATGAAAACATTGTGGTCAATAGCACTAGCTAAGCATCCAATTGATATCAAATATCAAATGCCAACCATGTCAAGTGAGGCTCTTCAGGCTTCCAACCCAGACTAGTATAACTTTAGATTACTGCAGCCCCTGCTTCTACTTCAATCACATGGGAATCCTCCATCTGATTCCACTCAACCACAGAATTCTGGAAAATACTTTTAAATGTTTTTGTTTTATTGTGTTTGTTTTAGTGTCTTAATTGTGGAGTGGTTTCTTACAGATAGCTAGAGTATTGCCAAAATTACAATATAACTTTCTACTAAATTTTTAAGGAACAAATTATACCAATTCTTCACAAACTTTTTCAGAACACAGAATTAAAGGAAATACTTCCTAACTCAATCTATGAGGCCAGCTTTGCCCTAATATGAAAAACAGAGAAAGACATTACAAGAAAATAAAACTACAGACCAATATCTCTGATGAAAATAAATGTAAAAATCCTCAAGAAAATATTGGCAAATCAAATCCAGCAATGGATAAAAAGAATTATACACCAGAACCAAGTGAGATTTATCCCAAGTATGCAAGATTGATTCAACATTCAAAAGTTAATTAATGTAATCCATCACATCAACATTCTAAGAAAGAAAATCACATAGATGCAGAAATAGCATATTGATAGATGCAGAAAAAGTATTTGACAAAATCCAATACCCATTCATAAAAACTCTCAGAAAACTAGGAATAGAGGGGAACTTCCTCAACTTGATAAAGAACATCTTAAAAAACCTACAGTTAATATAATATCCAAAGGTGAGAAACTCGAAGCTTTCCCACTAAGATTGGGAAAAAGACAAGGATGCCCTCCTCACTCCTTTTCAACATTGTACTTGAAGTCTTAGTTAATGCAATAAGACAAGAAAAGGAGATAAAAGATATACTAATTGGAAAGGAAGAAGTAAAGCTGTTTTTTTAGTCTATGTAGAAAATCTAAATCAACCAAAAAACTCCTGCAACTAATAAGTGATTATAGCAAAGTTGCAGGATAGAAATTTAATATACAAAAGACCATCACATTGCTATATACCAGCAACAAATAAGTGGAATTTGAAATTAAAAACATAGTACCATATACCTTAGCACCCACAAAAATGAAATACTTAGGTATAAATCCAAGAAAATACACACATGAGCCACATGAGGAAAACTATAAAACTCTGATGCAAGGAATCAAAGAACTAAATAAGCAGATTTCCATGTTCATGGATAGAAAGACTCATTACTGTCAGATGTCGGTTCTTCTCAACTTGTCTATTGATTAAATCTGTAGACAATCTAATCAAAATCCCAACAAGTTATTTTGTGACTATTGACAAACTGGTTCTAAAGTTTATGTGGAGAGACAAAAGACCCAGAATAGCCAACACAATATTGAAGGAGAAGAACAAAGTTGGAGGACTGACACTACCCAACTTCAAGACCTACCATAAAGCTACAGTAATCAAGACAGTGTGGTATTGGTAAAAGAATAGACAAATAGATCAATGGAAACGAATAGAGCTCAGGAGTAGACCAACATAAATATAGTCTCTGATCTTTGACAAATGAGCAAAGGCAATACAAGGGAGCAAAGATAGTCTTTTCAACACATGATGCTGGAACAACTGGACATCTACATACAAAAAGAAACACAAACAAAAAAAAATTCCAAAAACAAAAAACTAGACGCAGACCTTACACCCTTTATAAAAATTAACTTGAAATGGATTGCAGAACCAAATGTAATGTGCAAAACTATAAAATAACATAGGATAAAATACAGATGACCTTGGGTTTGACAATGGCTTTTTAGATACAACACTAAAGGCAGAATCCCTGAAAGAAGGAACTGATAAGCTGGATCTCACTAAATTTAAAAATTTCTTCTCTGTGAAAGACATCATCAAGAGAATGAAAAGACAAGCCACAGAATGGGAGAAAATATTTGCAAAAAAACGCATCAGATAAATGACTTTTAACCAAACTATAGAAATAACTCTTAAAACTCAACAATAAGAAAACAAACTGATTAAAAACCAAGGCCAAAAACCTCAACAGACACCTCACCAAAGAAGAAATATGGAATGGAAAATAAGTGTATGAAAAGATGTTCCACATCATTTGTCATCAGGGAAATACAAATTAAAAGAACCATAAGGTATCATGACACACCTATTAGAATGGCCAATATCTGGAACACTGAAAACACCAAACGCTGGTGAGGATGTGGAAGAATAGGGACTCTTATTCATTGCTGGGTGAGAATGCAAAATTGTGCAGCCACTGGAAGACAGTTTGGTAAGTTCTTACAAAACTAAACATACTCTTACCGCACAATCCAGCAATCACACTCATTAGTATTTACCCAAAGGAGTTGGAAACTTATATCCACACAAAAATCTACACACTGATGTTTACAGCAGCTTTATTCACAATTGCCAAAGTTTGGAAGCAACTAAGATATCCCTTGGTAGATGAATGGATAAGTAAACTGTGGTATATCCAGAAATGAAATTTTATTCAGTGCAGGAAAGAAATGACCCATCAAACCATGAAAAGACATGGAGCCTTAAATGCATATTGCTAAGTGAAAGAAGCCTATCTGGAAGGCTACATATTGTATCATTGCAACTATATGGCATTCTGGAAAAGGCAAAACTATGGAGATAAAAAGATACGTGATTGCCGGGGATTGTGGGGAGGGGGCATCAATACATACAGAGGCTTTTTAGGGCCGTGAAAAATACACTGTATGATACTATAATTGTAAGTAAATGTCATTATATCTTTGTTAACACCCATAGAAGGTGCAAGGGTAAGAGTGAACTGTAATGTAAACTATGGACTTTGGTTGATTATGATGTTTCAATGTAAGTTCATCAATTGTAACTAATCTATCATTCTGGTGAGGGATGTTATTAATCCAGGATGATATGTAAGTGTGGGCAGAGGGGTATATGAGATATCTCTGCCCCTTCCTCTCAATTTTGCTGTGAATCTAAAACTGCTCTAAAAAATAAAGTGTTAAAAATATATATAACTGTAAAAATCAGGAACTTAATATTGATGTAATACTACCATCTAAACAATAAACTCCATTCAAATTTTACCTACTATCCGATAATGAACTTTATAGCAGCAAAAGGATCCATCCAGGATCATACCTAATATTTATTTGTCGTGTGCCCTTAGGCACCTTCAATCTGGGACAATTCCTCAGTCTTTTCATATCGTTCACAATTTTAACATTTTGAAGACTTCAGCTTGCCATTTTATTGAGCATGTTAGTTGAGGTTTTACTTATGTCTCTCTTCCCCCTCCCTCTGCTTAGATCAAGTTATGAATTTTGGGCATGAATATCACAGAAATATGTTCTTTTCATTACCTCTTATCAGAACTGTGTTTTTCATTACATATTATCAGGTGGTACAAGACTTTGATTTCTTCTATTACTGGTGATGTTCATTTTGGTCACATGGCTAAAGTGGCACCCGCCAGGTTTCTCCAGAGTAAGTTATCAATTTCAAGTCTGTAATTAATGAGTGTGTTGTGAGGAGGTGCTTTGATACTAGGCAAAGTCCTATTTCTCATTATACTTTCATCTACACTTTTGGCAAGCATTGATGATTTTCCTTTGTCAATTATAACACTATGGTTTCCAAATGGTGGTTCTCTAATTCCACCAGTCCTTATATATTTTACTAGCTGACATTCTACAATAAGGAATAACTTTTTCTTCTCCCACATTTATTCATATATTTATTTATTTATGTGAGTATAGACTCATGAATCTTACTCTACTCAGTAGAGTATATTCTGCTCATATTATTATATATATTTATATTTAAATTATCCCATATTTGATAAATACATCCCATGCAAGCTTGCTTCTGTATTGTTTTAACATGTCTACACCATTCCTCAAACGCTCTTACTTTCTGGACACGCACACGCACACACACACATATTCACATATCTTTGTCTATTTATATTTTAGTTGTTTCTTTTTTATTTTTACAGGCCAAACATAAGTTCTTCAAACCCCAAGATGTTGCTTCTTAATACTTTTTGTTTATGCCAGATAACCTCACTTTGGTTTGATTGGTACAGACACTTAGGGCCCGATAGCTGATTTATTGGCTTTGCTGAAGTGTCTTTCCCGAGGCAGAAGAGAGCACAGCTCTAGTTCTACATCCAGGCTATTTTTGGCCTCACTTCTGATGCTGAACCCGCTACTAGTAGTGCAGAGAGGCCGGTGAATAGGGAAAAGTGTAGGTGGTGGCATTTAAAAATATATACCGCTGTTCCCCTGACTGCCTTTGCTTCTTTTCTTAGCTCTCAGGAAGAAAAAAAAAGAAAAAAAATGTTAATATAAAAGTAGAAACTAGTGGCTAAATATATCTTAATCTTTTTAAAAGTTTATTGGACTTTGGAATAATTTAGCCACTTAAAACCTCTGAATTTCTTATTTCCTATCTATAGATTTATAAATAAGAAAGTTTACTGATCCCTTCCATCTTCAAAATTCAGTGAGCCAAAAGTTGTCCACAATATTCTGTTTCGTCTTTGAATGAGATTGCGACATCAGGAATCAGAAGAACAGATTCATCAGGGATTTTGAGATTCGGAAATGGAAGTTGACATGTCAGGCACAGAGAACAGACAAAGCCAGAGACAGTATTTGAGGACCTCTTAAGGGCCAAGCACCATCTATGAGGTTCACATAAAGCAGTCCAAGCTGAATCTTCAATAAAGGGCTTTTTCACAGATTATAACCAAATTTCCTCTTGGCCAATTTTTAAAAAAAGATCCTATAAGGCCTATGTGGGGAAAATCTCATATTTGTGTTAATTTTCCAAAAGGCTTGGTATCATGTACCATTGAATAAATAATAAATATTTCTTTTGCTTCAAATTTTATCCTTTCATATAAAATCAACACAAAGCATAGTTTAGAGGAATTTTTTTTCCCAATTAAAACCAACAACTTCACAAGCCGTGAATGACTGGGTGATTTTAAACATTCATAACCTATAACTATTTTGAAATATGTGTAATAACGTACTCTAATCTGCCATCTTTCGTTGACTTCAAAACAGCTGCCTTTTCAAATTCAGATAAATTTCTTTAACATGAACTGGGTGTAGAAATTTATATTATATCCAACATTCACTATGAATGCATATTTTATTTTTTCAACATTTATTTTGTTTACAAGTAGAGTATGTTTAAAAATGTTAGTGTGAATTTTATAAAATAAAAAGGAGAAACACATTAAAAACTAAAAATATACTGTATGTACTATGACGTTTCATTAAAAAATGCTGATACATAAGAAACAAGGGAAAACATTCCACAAAGTATCATATTGTCCTAGGAAGAAAATATCTATTATAAAATTATTGATTTTCTTTTTAAATAAAGAATAACATGATTTTATTCTGCTTTGTCACTCCTTGGCTTCACTCCTGGAAAGATCGTTTCCCTTGGTGCACAGATCTCTCAAGTTATTCACTGGTGCAGAGTTGGATTCTTAAACTGCAGCCAGTTGGACTGGGATTTGGAGGTGACCTTTAACACCACAGTAGTACATGCTTCAAAGAGATTTCCTCCAGTGACAGATGACAAGTTTGTAATGCTGTTTTCATGCAAAATATTTCTTAAAATTTCGTTTCAAATATTCAGAAATCAGTAAAGATTAATAAGCCAGTTAGTTAATATATTAACAACTGAATAAGCTTGGCAAACTAGATCTGTATACATGTGCAACTTGTCACATTTTTTGCTTTTTCACATCTAACTTCTTTTTTTAACTAAACTTTGTGATCCATATTCCTAAACTTTGACATTTTGTACACTCTATTTTAGTTTCCAAAGATGATTCTCCTTTTCCAATCACCATAAAGCAGTTTTTACTATGACATACCTTCTAGTTTTGTATATGTATTCTTTACTGTCAGCATCTCTATGCTTTCCAAGAACATAGCATTGTTTTATCACACAACGGTGAGTAGAATTTTCTCAGAATAAAGATTTTCATTATAACATAGTTTAAATTCCTCAAATTATTGGAATATCTTTATTTTTTATATTTATGAATATTTAATAATTCAATATGTGTTTAGTCTGACCATTGTTGGAAGACAAAGTTTAAAGGCAGCAATATCTAGTGTATAACTTTTAAGTTCATCAAGTACATCTAACCCAATAACATAGTATTAGAATTTCCCAACCCAGAAAATTATTTTGCCTAACCAACAGTTTTAGAATAATCCTGTTAAAGTAATATTTATTAAATGGAAATATTAAAAGCACACATCATCATCATATCAAGTTTCGCCCCTCAGCAATCAGATAATAATAAACATTATTCACATTAATTTATAACTATTAGTCCCTTAAAAGAAATTAAGAGTATAAAGCATATATTGGAGCTGAGTTGAAATAATAAGAATGCAGGAAACAAGCAATGTAAATATTGAGGGAAGAGCTATCAATTTAGCCTTGAAGCAATCCTCAATTTTATCATTAAATTTAGAGTGTTAGGTTTGCAGACTAATGCAATGGATATTGCATCCCCTATTTGACCTGTTCATGCATTTTTGCATTTTTAATGCTGTAATGAGGTTTCCCTGACTCTCCCCAGGGTGGCAGTATTAACTCTCTGGATAAATCCCCTAGTCTTCTGGATGGAGTGATGATATGTGTGTGATACACTGATAGACCTCATGGTCTTGGGTCCACTTCCACCCCCATGGTGTTTCTCATTCTTGTATTCATTCTACTTTAGCCTTCAATTATGAAATTAAACATATATTTTAAATTTGCACACGAAGTTTTATCTGATTTTGCCAACTTCCTTTTCAGATCATCTTTTTGTCATATCATCTCATTTCTGAAATTTTCCTAATTGTTATTTATGCTATTTTTTCATAGCTTTTTTTGTAATTTCTCTTTGCTTCTTCTGAGTATGTTTTGTAGATATGTGCCTTCATTGTGAATTAAGGACATTATTTATTATTTATTAATTGTTCTTTCTCTCTTTTTGTTCTGGCAAAAACTTGTGTGAAAGTCAACCACAATTCTTTCCTATTGCTCATGCTTAGGTGAGATGCACTCTCAAATAGGGATGATTTTATCACCCAGGGACACTTGGAAATGTGTGGTGACATTTTTGGTTATAGTAACTGGTGGGCTGCCACTGACACCTAGACAGTAAGATCAAGGATATTGCTCAAAATCCTACAGTGCATAGGACAGCCTCCCTCAAAGAAGAATTATCTGGTCCAAAATGTCAATAGTGTCTAGATTGAGAAACTCAGGACCCATACTCTTTAGAGGGAATAATCAAGGTTAGGGAGAAGACAGTTTTCCTCAGCTTCATGGCTCTAATGTCCTTTCCTCTGCTGTAATCAGAAATTATTCACAAGTGTCTTTACAATTTCTGAAATGTGCCTTGTTTTTTCCCCTTATGTGCTTTTATCTGTACTTTCTCTTTCAATTGCCCTTAACGTTCCTTTCCTTTTCTATTTGAATTTTACTCCCAGGAATCCCTTCTTAGTATAAGTAGTTGTTTAGGAAATTGCAGCCTGCAAAGCCCCTCTTTGTTTGGGCTGCTCTTCTCAAGTTGGCCTGTTGAGCTTTCCACAAGCATTTGTGATCCTTCACTTTGGAGGTGAGACTCTATTGGAATCTGCCGGTTCTCTAGCTATCAAGCCCCTCAGAAGCCTCTGCCTTCCTGCCATTCCTCTTCACAGTTGCTGATAATTCACGGGTCACCTTGCTGTTGAGTGTTTGACCCCCACCTATTCCTATTTTGAGATTCTCGTGTATAAATTGTCGCCTAGCTTTGTTGCCATACTCTCCATGACAATTTTTAACTAGTGATTCAATGTGTATATGGGCATCAATTTTTCAATTCTATAAAATTCTAAAAATATTTTTTTCATTTCTTCTTGAACATGTTTGATAATTTATGTATAAAAATGGGTTGTTAATTTAAGTTTTTAAACTTATAGACAAAATTTTGTTTTTATTTTTCCTTCAGTGCCACTTTGTCCTTCATTTGTGGTTGTGAACAGTCAAAGAATCAATATTTGTCTATATAATTCTGGTCTTATTTTTATCTTTTTCTTCCTTCTATTTTCTTTCATTTACTATGTTGGCCTTTCTAAATTATTAGGCTGAATCTTTGATCATTAACTTTTAGCACTTTGATTCTCATATATGTGAACATAAGTTTAAATTATTTACTTTAAATAGTGCTTTAGCTGAAACCCTCCATTTTGGAAAGTTTCCATTAAATTTTACATTAATTTCCAAACTAATTTTATTATAGTTATAAAATTTTGGTTTTGTATCCTTTCAATTTGTGATCAGCTTTTAATTGTTTAATGTGCCTGAAAATGAGTTTTTTTAATTTATTGTGTAAATATGGATGTATATATCTTTAGGTTAACCCACTAATTTACAAAAGCTTTAAATTGTAGTTTTTTTGTAATGCTTTAAATGTAGTTTCTTACTGCATTAAGCTCTTTGTTGTTAAATAAGTATTCTCTGAATCCCTTTTAATGCCTTTAACCACAGTATCTATTTTACCTCATACTAATATAGCTATATTAGCTTTCTTATTATTAATGTTTGCTTTGTATATTTTTTCCATTCTTTTACTTGTATACTATCATCAGTATGTAGAAATTTTACTATCTAAAGCCCTTGCAGATTGAATTCTCTTTGCTCCTGTTATAGCAACTTGTTTTACTATGTTTTAAAATGTTTTATTCTGAACTCATATTTGATGTCATTGTCAGGAATCATGAGGGTTTGAATAGCTCTGTATTCTTCCAGAGAGGACTTGCTTTTGCATTATCTAGGTGCATGTGTTTACTATAAAACTAGGACCACTTTAATTTAGTTTCTTAGCCAGACCACTCAGGTGTTATAATGTTAAATCTTATACCAGTGTGAATGCAGCATAAAAATTACAGATTTAAAGAGGAAACTTCCAAGGGAATCCAGAGTCAGGTCTTTGCTATTTGCAAACCATCCACAATTCAATCCTATGGGAAATATATCTATATGTTTCTAGGTATTCTTTTTTTGTGTGTGAGGAAGATCGGACCTGAGCTAACATCTGCCAATCTTCCTCTTCCCGCTGAGGAAGACTGGCCCTGGGCTAACATCCGTGCCCATCTTCCTCTACTTTACATGGGACGCTGCCACAGCACGGCCTGCCACGTGGTGCGTCGGTGCACACCCGGGATCCGAACCGGCGAACCCCAGGCAGCCGCAGCGGAGCGCCGCACTTAACTGCTGGCGCCACCGGGCCAGCCCCTCTAGGTATTCTTTTGGTATAAAACCCCACTTGTTCATCTTCTATTTTTTTCTCCCTCATTCTATCACAACTCACCTTTCTTCATTTCTCTTTATGCCATTATAAATTTGATACATAATCATTTTAATAACACTCTAGCCCAAAGGCTAGCCCATCTGTTTTTGGATGAACCCCTGCCTCACGTAAAACAAAACATACTTATATTGTCACATGTATTGCCACAGCACACACTAATGGAAAAGTCACACTATACACAGAAGCCTACTTACACACTGGCCCTCAAGAATACCTTGAAATCTTATAATATATTAATTTATATAAAGAATTATTACTTCATACATTTTCTACTGTTCTCACTTCTTACCACTTACTTATTTTCTTAACCCTTTCCCACTCCTTCTGTATAGTTTCAGTAGATAAAAATAACAAACAAGCAAATGAACAAACAAATAAAAGAGACGGTCAGAAACTTCTTGAATTCTCAGTGCCAAACTGCAAACACACATGTATTTGCCTGTATATTATTATATTACTCTTTAGTTTTAATAAAAGCACTGTCTATCATCCTATTTGAGGAGAAAATAACATCCTGTCCTGAGGCTTCCATTCTTCCTTCACAGAAATAGTCAGTTTCTCTTTCTTTTTTATGTATACCAAGCCACTCTCTCTCATTTTGATTCTTCCTTTTCTTTTTTAATAATCTCTTTAGCACCTCAGATTCCTCACTTGATTTTTTTTTTTTTTTTTGCAGGGAAAGATTTGCCCTACACTAACATCTGTGCTGCAATCTTCCTCCTTTTTTCTTCCTCCCACAATACCCCAGTAGATAGTATAGTTGTAAGTTATTCTAGTTTTTCTATGGGAGCTGCCGCCACAGCATGGCTACTGACAAACTAGTGATGTGGTTCCACACCCAGGAACCGAACTAGGGCCACCCACCAAAGTGGAGCACACAGAACTTTAACCACTAGGCCATCAGGGTTGGCTCTCCTTATGTTAACTTTTTTTTCTCCACATCTTTGTTATTTAAAAAATAAAACAATAAAATACAAAACAAATTCAGATATCACTTCAGTCACAGGTTTTATGGCCTCCACAAAACTATTTCAGAGAGTTTGTATTTCCAATTCTTATTCCTTAATCTCCCATTCACTACTAAAACACTTTGCTTTGATTTCCTCACCCATCACCCATAGGTATAGCTTGCCGTGATCACGGCAATGACAAACATATTGCTAAATCCAATGGATATTCTAAGTACTAATCCTACTTGACCTCTCAACATGTACTGTTCTGTGAATTGTATTCTCTTTGACTAGCTTTTTAATAGTATTTCATTAGATTATATATTCATAAAATACTTCGATTTTAAAATAAAAAATTTAATTGTTATCTAAAAATTAAGTTTTTAGAAATTACATGGAGGTCTCGTCTTTAAACTCCAAAAGCCTAACAAACGAATTGCTTTTTAAAGTTCACTGAAAAAACAGTCAGTAAATAATTGCACAAGTGGAAAAATTACATTTTTCTGGCTAAGTTTATTTTCGTAACTAGTGCTATGATAACTCTCTTTTTACATGTATTTTGTGCATATCTTGTCTATTTAATTAAGCCAAAATGATTCGCTGGATCAATGGAATACATTTTTTTAAAATTTATTTGTTTATTTATTTATTTTTTGAGGAAGATCAGCCTTGAGCTAACATCCGTGCTAATCTTCCTCTTTTTGCTGAGGAAGACCGGCTCTGAGCTAACATCCATTGCCAATCCTCCTCCTTTTTTTTTTTTTTCCCCCAAAGCCCCAGCAGATAGTTGTATGTCATAGTTGCACATCCTTCTAGTTGCTGTATGTGGGATGTGGCCTCAGCATGGCGGGAGAAGCGGCGTGACAGTGCGCACCCGGATCGGAACCCAGGCCGCCAGCAGCAGAGCACGTGCACTTAACTGCTAAGCCACGGGGTTGGCCCCAATGGAATACTTTTTTAAAGTCTCCACTAACATGTTCTCAAAGCAATGCATGAGAGGGACTGATATATACATGCTAACACTCTTTATTTCAGTGGATAATTTTTTATTTTGTCCATTGCCCTTCTTTATATTGGGAAAATAATAATAGATTAAGTTTCAAATTAGTTATAATCATTCTTAATTTTGCTGTTTCAAATTTATTGCATCAATTAAAACTTTAACTGCAGGGCCAAATTTAAATAAAGATAGTATTCAGCCTTGTCTTGTCCTGGAGCTGAAAGGTAAAGCATTCATTATTTTACAAATAAATCTGACATACATACGGCATGTATTTTAATAATGAAAATTGCTGATTGTTCATTTAAGATTCTATGCATAATAGAATCTATTCTATTCCATTCCATTCCATTCCATTCTATTCTAATATAATTCTATTCATAATAGGTCTTTTTTTATGTACATGTCAATTTACCTAGGCTATGGTCCCTACTTATTCAATCAAACACTAATCTAGATATATTGTAGATGTGATTAAAGTCCATAATCAGTTGACTTTAAGTAAGGGGTATTATCCTAGATAATCTTGGCTGGCCTGATTCAACCAGTTGCAAAGTCTTGAGAGCAGAGCTGAGGCTTCCCTGAAGAAGATCTTTGCCTGTGGACAGTAGCCTTAACTTTTGCCCAAGAGTCTCTGATGTTCTGCACTAGGAATTTCACACTTCCCTAGCAGGATCCACAATCATATAAGTTAACCTATTACAATAAATGTCTTAATGCATTTCCTACTTGTTCTGATTCTCGACTGAACCCTGACTGACATAAATTTTTGTACCTGAAATAGTTCTAGAGGAATAAAATCTTAAAGATAAGTTTCCTAAATTGATTCTGCAATGGAATTGGTTCTCTTATCTGATTAGATTTAAAGGCACTAATGACTCTATTTCTAGTGATAAAGAGAGCACTGATAGCCCATGGCATGATGTAACAATAGTGATATGAAAATATTGCCGTTGGATATTCCTAATCAAACACCTATAGAAAGCAAGGTTCTACATGATCATGTGTTTACTAGCTTAGAATATTTTACTCAAACTAAGGAGCATAATGGGATTACTGGTTGCTCCTAATTGTGCTGGAGAAAGTCGATGATGAAAAGTACAAGCTCAGGGCTCCAAAATCCTAGCTCAAAATCTGCATTAACGGTCGAAAATCTTCTCTACATGCCCTGAAAGAAACCCTTATCTCCTGTAACTGCTGGGTGCAAATTTCTGAAAACCAAACCCAAAATCTCATTCTATGAGTGGCTAAATTACAAAACAAATTAAATTCTCAATCCCACAGAGTATCTGCTGCTAAAGTGAAGTTATTGATTGGGGAGAAATGGGATACTGAAAATTGGAATAGGTGATATGGGCAGAGTCTGTGATGAAGCTGGGGACACTGACCCCATCAATTCTCCTGAATCCTCTTTGCTAGTAAAAGTAGCCATTCTTTGGACCAGCCCAGTGGCATAGTGGTTAAGTTCGTGTGCTCCTCTTCAGTGGCTTGGTGTTCGTAGGTTTGGATCCCGGGTGGAGACCTACAAGATGTTAGCTCAGGGCTAATCTTCCTCACACACAAACAGAAAAAGGTAGCCATTCTTCTCCTGCCTGAGTGGGTTAACCATCTTTTGCCTAAAGAACATATAATGCATCCCTTGAAGTAGTTGCCTAGCAAGCCACGGCTGATTCTTAAATCAAACCTGACCACCTCTCTTTGCTTTTAGACTTAAAACTAGACTCAAATCTCAGCAGGCCCCAAAGAGTGAGGTACAAAGTTTGACCCATTAGGAAGGGCACACCCAAATAACTGATTTTTTTTTTTTTTTTGGTGAGGAAGATTCACCCTGAGCTAACATCTGTTGCCAATCCTCCTCTTTTTTTTTTCCTTGAGGAAGATTAGCCCTGAGCTAACATCTGTGCCAATATTCCTCCATTTTGTATGCAGGATGCCACTACAGCATGGCTGATGAGTGGAGTAGGTCCACGCCTGGGATCTGAACCTGTGAACCTGGGACACCGAAGCGAAGCATGTGGAACTTGAACCACTTGGACATGGAGCTGGCCCCAAATAACTGAATTTTTTAAAACAATTTATACACAATAAAATCTGGGAGATATGTGTGGGACTAAATAATAAGGGCATTGAAGAATAGCAGAAAGAATATAGTGTTGAGTTGGGTCGAATTTCTTGATATTGGACACTAAAGAGAGATTCTGGATTCGATGTTTTAGCTTGAGGTGTTTGAAAGGGCAAATAGTACATATACTAACTAAAGTTAAAACTTTAAAACAGCCTTGGTATAACATAGACGATGTCATCCAGAGACTTTCATCTAGCCACACCTTTCATCTTGACTTTGAGAAATGAATCTGTGAGGGAAGCCCCAGCATCCTTGTAAAGCTCTGTGGTAGCTCTAGTTTATTGGCCAGAAATTACAGTGGGAACTGCTACCATCAAACTGTGACCCTTAAAGTGGGGCATAATAGAAGCCTGGACTACATAGCAACGGCCTAGTGACTGCACTTAATTGCCAAAGTGGTTACTCTAATGGACCACAGAACCAAGGCGGTAATCAGAACACTCTGACTTGTAGAGACCTGTGGTGTTGGCTGGTTTATCATAGTGTACCTAGAAAATAGATGGGCAATCTATTAAATTCTGTGTAAGCGGAAGAGGTCTAGGTCTAGTAAACAGAAATCTAACCTGAATTACCGAAAAAGACAATCACGGCCCCTCAATCAATTCTAAGACTTGAGCAAATTTTCAGACTCAGAATACCATGAAAGAAGAGAAGAGTTAGGATCCCCTTGAGGAAGGATCCTACTGCACTGACAAAAATTTGTCATGTTTATATTTCTATCAGCCTTTTCCAGAGAGACCTGTGGTCATTTTTCAGGGTAACTGTGCAACTGGAAAAGGGATTACTAGACACTGTGACAGAATTCCCATATTGGTTCTGGGACCTGCAGAGTGAGAGCTATTATAGTAGGAAAGGTCAAGTGCAAGCCACTAAAATTCCCTCTGTCTAAAAATATAATATACTGAAAGCAATAACACATTCCTGGAGGGATTGCAGAGATTGGTGCCACCATCAAGGACTTGAAAGATGCAGGAGTGGTAATTTCCACATACCCTGATGCAAGTCACTTATTTGGCCTATTCAGAAAACAAATGAATCTTGGAGAGTGACGGTGGATTACTGTAAACTTAATCAGGTGGTGTCTCAAATCACAGCTGCTGTTGCAGATGTGGTTTCATTATTTGATCCCCTAGGACCCAGTATGCAGCTATTGATCTGCAAATGCTTTTTGCTCTAAACCTGTCAGTAAAAACCACTAGAGCAGTTTGCTTTCAGCCAGCAAGGAAAGCAGAATGTCTTCACTGTTGCCTCAGAGGTATATAAACTCTCCAGACTTATGTCGTAATTTAGTCAGCAGAAACCTTGATCCACTTTCCTTTCCTCAAGACATCACACTGGTCCATTACATTGATGATATTATGCTGATTGAACCTAATGACCAGGAAGTAACAACTAGTCTAGACATATTGATAAAACATTTCAGTGTCAAAATGTGGGAAGTAAATCCCTCAAAAATTCAGGAGCCTTTCACCTCGGAGAAATTTCTAGGAGTCCAGTGGTGTTGGCACGGCAAGCTCTCCCCTCTAAGGTGATAGATGAGTTGCTGTATCTGGCCCCTCCTTCTACAAAAAAAAAAAAAAAAAAAAGGCACAATGCCTCGTGGGCCTCTTAGAATTTTAGAAGCAACCTATTACTCATTTGGGTGTGCGACTCCAGCCCATTTATTGATTGACCATAAAAGCAGCTAATTTTGAGTGGAACTCAGATTGAAAGAAAGCTCTGAAACAGGTATACCTTGTGACATTGACAGAGGTTTCCTTAAATGCCTGGAGCAAAAGAAAAAATAAGAAAACACATACCCTTCCTGTCTTTGCAGATTGGCCCTGTGTTAGGTTACACTTCTGACGCTTAGCTAGGCACTTTACCACTCTGTGTTAGCGCTCCAGATCAGCCACTGGTGAAAGCTTCAAGGTCAGCTCAGGTCTTTTATGAGCACGCGCCCTGTCCTGGGCATGCACATGGCTTTTAAATTCCCAGATATAGGGTCCCGTTCCCCAGTATATGCGGGAACTTTTCAATATCCTACTTCCCCCAGAGAATCTTTCTCCTCAGCTTTTCCTCCTGTTACTGCCCAAGGGTCGGTGAGGGGGGGTCATCTGCCCTCTGCAAGACATGCCAATAGTCAATAGGCAAGGTGGTAGGAGAGAAAAGACTTTTTTATTACAGCTGGCTAGCAAGAGGAAAGATGGCAGACTAATGTCCAAAACAACCCTCTTCGAAAACAAAGACTATAGGCCAGTTATATAGGGGGCTGGTCTCCACGTGGGGGAGGCATCTGGTCTCAGGGTGGGGGCATCCATCTGATCTGCGGCTGGGGGCAGACATCCATTCTTAGTTCCTGACAGTCTTTTGCTTTACTAGATATGCATCAGAGACCAGAGCAACACCCTATACCCTGATCTTTCAATTGTCATTGATGATGGCTATCAGCATAGACTCTCTGCCCGGGGGTCATCACATTCCTAAGAAACTCAAGGGAACAAAGTTATGGACCTATAGCAGCTGGGAGGGGCCATCAAATCCACAGAGCATGTCTGGGTTAGTTAATCAGAGGTCCTTCAAAGTTGCAATAGGGTTTCTTTTCTACAATACGGCTTCCTTTACGTCAACCTTGTGTTGAGCCAGTATCACTTCCAGGCTTTGTCATGTTTACTGTTTGCCTCAACTAGAATCGGTTACCCCAGGTGGCAGAGAGGTTTTTCATTTGTCCTTCAGTATTTTCAAGGCATGCCCTCTGCATAGCACCTTTTCCTTCCTGAGAGAGTTCCAATTTAGTTGTTACAAAGCCAAGTACCCTTCATCCATTCTTCAGGCAGCCTCTAGACAAGTTAAAACAGACAAACACAATTTTTTGTGAAGAAGGTCTGTTCTGCTGCCACCGGGGCCAAGGTCCCACCCCATGCTGCCACCTTCAAGATGGCTGGTGAGTCACGGAGTGGAGTGGCGCAGGACGAGGAAAAATGCTGCAAAGCTTTACCAGTTTTAAGGTGCCTTTTCCTTGATTTAGCATTGACTTGGTTCCTATAAACCTCTCACTGTTTTCCATAGTTCAACCAGTTGATTCAGATACTTGCTGCTCATTTTTTCCTTGTGTTTGTGGAGAGTTGGGCCCTTGAAGCTACCTACTCTTCTATTTTTCTCATGTCCTTCCTCCTTGTACTAACTTTTGAAGTCAGGCAGTGTAAGTTCTCCAATTTTTTTCCCCCAATGTCTTTTGCTTTTCCTTATATATTTTAGGAATCGCTTGGAACTTGTGAAAAAATCTGCTTAGACTCTGATAGTGACTGCATTAAATCTATAGACCAGGAATTGCCATCTTAATAATAATGAGTTTTTGGATGCCCGGACATACTATTCTTCTTTAATTAGATCTTTTTAAATTTCCACCTGGAAAATTTTGTAGTTTTGTGTATACCTCTTTGGAACTTCTTTTGTCAAATATATTTCTAAATATTTTGTTCTTTTTGATGCTGTGTGTATATATTTTCTTTCTTAATTTCATTTTTGGATTATTTATTGGTAATATGTAGAAATACATTTGATTTTTGTATATTGATCCTTATTCTGAGTCCTTGCTGAGCTCATTAGTTTTCATAGATTTGTTCTGTGGAATTCTTAAGATTTTTTTAATACAGGTTCATATTGCCTGTGAATAAAACAATTTTAAAAACATACATATTTTATATCTTTATCTTGCTGGTTAGCTGATTGCACTGGCTAGAATCTCATGTACCATACTGAACAGAAGTGGTGAGAGAGGACATTTTGCTATATTCCTGATTTTAGGGAGAAAGCATTCATTCTTTCAATATTGAATATAATACTAGTTGCAGCTTTTTATAGATGCCCTTTTTCAGTTGAAAAAGTTCGCTTCTATTTTTAGTGTGTTTGAAACTGGCAAACAGTTAGCCATTGATGACTAAGCAGCTAGTAGCTATGGGGGATCGGAATTGGCCACCTCAAAATATGTCTCTGCCTGAAAGACACTTTGACCCCCACCCCCACTAGCTGACCAAAAGACTTTGGAACGGGAGGCCTGCCCCCAGAACAGGCCATCACCATAGACATCTCTGGGTATCCAGGAGGGTCCTTGCTAAGCCCATTCTTTGTTCCAGTTCCCCTTTGTAAGAGACATTTACATTTGTAAAGGAAATCTCCATTTGTAAAGGTATCGTCTTCCCTGCACCAGGAAGAAGGGGGGATGGCCTTACCTAGAAACTTATCAGAATGGAAAGTGAGGACTTAAATCGGCATGATAAACTTACCCATGGTTAACTGTGCTGTTTAAGCAATAGGCTATCTGACTCCCACCAGGTTCCTATAGACAACATCTCCCTGGAGCCTGGATCACCATGGTAATGGATGTTTGAGCTATTTTTTCCAGGAATTTTTGGAACCCCTTGTCCACTTCAGGCCAGTTGAGACCATCAACCCATCAACCGGGCTCATGCAGACATATGTCCTATAAGCAACATTTTGATGTCAAGAGGTTAAAACTCCACCCTCAGGGCATGCTAGCGCTGCCATTCTGTGAACATGTGTCCTACAAAGAGGCATGAAGCCTGACTACACTTGCACAAATCATCAATTACCTCATCTCTCCTCACCTCCAATCATTCCAGACCACTTTGCCCCCTACCCCATAAATATCCCTGAGTCTCTATTTTTGGGGAAGTGGATTTGAGATTCATTCTCCCATTTCCTTACTTGGCTGCCTTGTGATTAATAAACCCTCTGTCTCTGTTGCAATCTTGTTGTCTTGGTGTTTGGCTTTCTGGGTCAATGAGGTAACATGTTGAGATATTTTCCCAGTAAAATGACATGTTTTTCTTGAGCCATTGCCTTATTAATATACTACAGATGACATATTTTCATGTGTCCAATGGTCATTTAAGAAACAAATACTCTTTTGTTCTATCACCAGCCAAAAATAATTAACATATTTGCATTTAGGGAATATGAATATTAATAATTTACTTATTAATTACAAAATGTATAGCATGAGTGTCATCTTAATTGCTAAGAGATATCCGTAATTATTCCCTGATTCTAAGTTTGATAATGAATTATTTGAATTATTGGATTTACTTAATAAGTCTGAATAATAAACCATCTACTGTGAGCATACATCTTTCACCAAGCCTCTTTTCATATCCTCTTGCATTAGCTCCACTAAATGTTATTATCTTTACATAGTATATTGGTCTTGGCCTCCATAGTGTCAAATATACAAATAAAAATCGTTATAAAGACATAAGATGTAATGTTAGGTGAGGTTACTTCTGGGAGGATAGACATTCAGTATATATCAAATGACTAGGAAGGAATACACTAAAAAGTTAACAGTAGTTACGTAGGAAATGTTGGATTATGGTTAATTTTTTAGTATCTTTCTATGTATTTTCAATCTTACTATTTAAATATTTTAAATAGATGAAATAATTCATCTTTATTTGAACAAAGAACAATATCACAACTCTTGCCCCAAGGCCATCACTCCTCTGTGGATAAGAGATTTCACATATTTTACCCATTTTTTTTTAAAGCTATCCCTCTCCTTTTACACATCTAAATTGCTTAGGAATATCAAGTGTTAGGAGCAGATAAAAAAGGGATAAATATGAAGTGTATCATAAGAGAGATATAAGGCATCATAGTGGCATTTAGGAGAATTTTTAGAGATGTGTAAAGAGGGAAGCTTAAGAAAACTTAAACATTTAGCTTTACGTTATCTGCCATTTGTATTGCCATATTAACAATTTTCCCATAGATCTTGAGTGTCTTTTGCTATCTAAATACACTTATATTTTTAAATTGATTTACAAGGACACCAAGGGAAAATTGTTATGTTCCATATTTGAGTTAGTGTTGGGCAGGGAAACAAGACATGGCAATAATGAGTAGGAGACAGAATTTAGTAGCAATGAGACTGGAACCAGAGGGAAACCTGAAGTGATAAGCCATGGGTATTTGTCAGCATATTGGAAAATAGATTGACCTTCCACAAGACTAAGGAGGAAATTTAAATTAACGCTAATTATTTTAGTGATTCAGGCAGTCATCTGGTTGAAAGTTGGTTTCTCCATATATAAGGCTGTTTGAACTCTGGTATCAGAGTCCATACCAGCTCCACCCCCTCCCCCCATCATATTGTGCTTTTGATTTATTCCCACTATTTTCAAAGTTTGGAATATTTTGAGTCTCTCTCTCTGAATTGTTCACCATCTGTTTATCTCCGTTGGGTGCAAACGTCACCGTTTGCTCTATTGTTGCTCAGAAGCCAATTTGCTGGTACAATATTCCAAGGTTTACTATGTGGCTGCACTATTGCACATTGGAGTTCAGAAAAATATGTCTCTGAAGCTCAATTTATCTGTTCAACCAAATGCAGTTATTTGGAAAGTACAGAATGATCACAGTTCTAAAATGGATCTACCGCAATTTAAAGAGATTTAATATATTCAGTGATCAGTTCCATGCAAAGAGTATAAATTTCACATGGACTAACAGTAACAGATTGCAGGGATTCTAATGAGTGAGTTTCTATGTCTTCTAGGACCTATACAAATATGTAGCCATGATAAATGAGAAGAACTGAAAAAAATATGCACATTCTACACAAGGTAATTACTCAAGTGGAGATTATATTAAAATAGATATTTGCTCAACTTCTAAAGTAAAATCACACATTTTTTACCTTAAAAATGACAACATATGTGGAATATTCCCTAAGTATAAAATTGTTGTTCAGGCGTTTTCACTACAGTGAGGAGATGTTGAAGAGAGAATATTCAACTCAATAATTTAAGTTTCAAAGGTATTACAGTAGGCTAGAGTTGGCAGTTATCACGCATAAATTTCATAGACAATTGCATAAAACTTTCTAATTCTGGGCATCAACTCAAATTCTGAGAACTTATCGTTTACTTTCTATTGAAACCAGCGCCTCGGTAATAATAGATGATATGGCAATATCATCTGAGTAACATTTGTATGTGAGATATCAACATGGCTAAAAATATATTAAAAGGAAACTGAACTTCTTTCCCCTAAAAGGCATAGAAAAAAATATGCTCTTTCAACAGTTTGTCTACTCTTTTTCAGACTTTCACGAAATAACGCAAATGTCACCCTCCAAAGAGAACCAAAGTGCTGTTTTCAACATCAGTCAGAGAGATGAAGTAACTGAACGTTAAATTTTGCTGCTAGAATTTTTCTCTAAGTTGAACAGTTAACCAAATTATGATTTGCTAAAAAGGATAGCTGTGATTGTTATTTATATGAGCCATATTGCCCCATTTACACAATGTTAAAAGTTTAGTAGTATACTGCACATATTCAGTGTCTAATTTGTGTAACTATCAGTGTGAGGGGCCAGGATCTTAGGCTGCACATATTAAGAGGTTGCTAATTCTGGGACACTAAATCCTCCAGAAATATCAGCTGTATTGTTTATATCATTTGTGATACTGAGTGCTCTTGCCTGTTTTCTAGTTTTTGGGTGACATCTTTTCAGGGTAAACTTACTATGTCGTTCATTCAGCCCATACCCCTCCCCTAGAACAAGGATAGAGTATATTACAAATCCTGTTGTAAACTCCAGTGTTGTCACAAATTTCTAAATGGCAATTAAATGTTCCAATGATACCAATAAAAGTGATCTCCTAAAATGGTGCAAACTGACAAAAAGTGTTCTAGTTTATACATTGTCTCACTTTATTTCTAGTAACCATTTCATTTTGGGGGTCAGGGGATGAGGGAGATGGATAAACCAGCATCTGTTTTATTCTTCAAAATGGAAAGAAAAACAAAAAAAATAGATTGTAAGCCTCCTTTTCAACAATTCACTTTGGTTTCAAAGATAAAGAATCACACACACGTTCGCACACACACTATATATGTTAGCTAGTTTCCAAAGACAGTGTGAAACCTAAATGTGCATTCACTACCTACCATCAAGAATGGCAATGCTCCTCCTCTTGAATCTGAGTTAGTCCTGTGACTGCTTTGTCAATAGAATGAGGACAAATTGGGTTTGAGGTTCTTCTGAGCCCCAGGCATTAAGAAGACCTAGCAGCCTGCAGTCTCCACCACAGAGACCTTAGCTGCCACTAAGAAGTCCAAGTTATCCTGCTGGAGAGAGAGCCACATGAAGAGATCTTGGAAGTTTAAACACAACATAGAGAAAGAAGTATGGAGGCACCGGACATCCAGACCCAGCAGACAGACCCAGCTACGATCCGACTATACCCGCATAAGAGACCCAAGCTAGATCTGTAAAGCAATCTCTCAGTTCTGTTCTGGCCAACACACAGAATCACGAGATAAAATAAAATGATTATTGTGTAAGTCAGCAAATTTTGAAGTTATTTGTTATTTGACAACGTTGAAGTGAAATAGATTTTATTATATAGAAATGGCGTATTGCTGTCACAAAAAAAATGTGTGTCATTCATTTTGGGACGAGATGGTGGTTAGAAGCTGGAAGTGCCTTGAGAAGATTGTTAGACTTGAAGGAAAAGGAGGAAATTATTCTTTGAAAGAAAGGGACCTAAGTTATATAAAAGCAAAATAATTAACAAAACAGTCAACAAAGCCATCACGAAAGACTGAAAAGGTACCTAAAGAACTTGTTGATCTGGCTAATGAGATTTCTAGGCAGAATGTTGAGAACGTGAACTGTTTTTTTGTTTTGTCTGATTTAAAAAAAAAACAGCAAAAAACTGTTGATGATAAAGTACAGGAGAAGCCAGATGAACTAAAAAGGGAACTGATCAATTTGGCAGGATAATTTAGAGGAAACATAAAGAAGCAAGAATGTTCTGGCTTCTAAAATAAAATTTTGTCTTATTCTCAGTTTTTCTAGAGGCCATAAAGGAAAAAACGCAAGAAACAGCTTCAGAATAAAGGTCAAATCTAGGCCACTGCCAGTAAAACCTAACCTCAGGGTAAATTTTAGATCAAGGATTAGTGTAAACCCCTTTGTTAAACCCCAGAAAAATCTAGTTTATCTCTAGACATCTTCACCTAGACTAAAAGGGCTCTAGGCCAAAATAGGATTTCTCGGAATCTTAATGATACTTCACCTCAGCAGCCTCACAGGAGGTCTAAGGTAGAAAATATTTCACCTTTAAAAGAAACATGAGTGGTAATTTTAATCTAAGGTATTTTGTTATAATTTGATACATAACAATCCATAAATTTTATTAAAGGAATTATATCACATTGGACTGAAAGAAACAGATGTAACTCATAATGAAAATAGTCTCCCTGGACTCTCAAAATCTATAAGTAGGATGCAGGTGAAAAAGCTACTGAGCTGCAATCGTGAGTCATTTCTTATACAAAAGTGAGATTAACTCAGAGGGCAAAT